GAAGAAAAAAAGACATTATATAATCATTTCCAAATCAAATTCAAAAGAATAACCATATCCCACAAAGAATTAAGAATTGCAGTTGTCCCCCAAAGTTACAAGTTTCCCTATTCCCTGTCCTATAACAAAAACAATAATAATTGCAAACTTATCATTTAACCTTTAACTTTTAACTTATATTTTAGAGCTCAGAGTTCCGAGGTCAGCTACTTGCATTTTCCTGTGAAGCTCTAATGATGAATGACATGGGCAAAGCTGCCAGGCAGTGGCCAGAAAGAATCAAGCTAACCCTTAACACAGTAGTTCCACTAGGTTTCTACTTCTGTACATTGCATATAATGACTCTCCCAAGAGTCCCAGTGTTTTTACTTAGTTTTACTAACATATAATTTTATGCGTTCTATACTTACTTATCCAGCAACCACTCTTAAATGTTGTGCAAAACTTATTTCATAATTTTAATAGTTTTTTTTTCCTTTCTTGGGGTCCCAATATTGTCTCTATTTCATTTTCTAATAATTTCTTCAAACTTTCTTTCCAAGTCAAGCATTAATTGAAACTACCATTATACAGTTATTGCATTGTTTCCAAGATGAGAAAACACAGATGCACCTGGGTTATTAGGACTGTGCTATGCTGCTCCCTATGCCTCAATTTTTAATTGTTTAAGAATCATTACATCAAGGAACACCTCGTTCCACAGAATTCACCAGAGCAGAAGGAGAAGTAGGAAAGTCAGATATAATAGAATAATTATACACACCAAGACCAACTGAAAAACAGTCACACACGAATGAAATCTATACAACCATTGTCCAGAGCTAAGGTTAGAAGAAATGGGAAAAAGAGCTGTTGCAGGCTACTGAGATGTTTCCATCCCAGGCTACTACAGGCAGTCTCTTATTTCAGATCGTGAGTCCCCTGGAGGGATGTGTCTCCTGCTTCTCAGGGTCCCAGACACCATCCTCTTTACAAGGAGCTGCCCTGGGCTTCTGAAATGTCTCCATCTATTGCAGGCAGTCTCTGTCAGTGTATGCTGTCCCCAGTATGAACTAAACATTCAGTTGAGCCTTTCAGGAGGAAGGTAGAGAGAAAAGAGGAGAGAACTGCGGTTACTCCTGAAATTGAGTAGAGTGTGGACTGAGGTAGCTAACGTAAGTGAATGAAATGCAAGGAATTTGGACTCATGGAGGCTGAGTGATGAGGACAGAAGATGAACACACACACATACACACACACACACACACACACACTGGTTTTAGCCATTTGGTAGTCATTGCAACTTTGATGACAGCCATTTCAGCAGGCAATGTGCAGAAAAAAATGATTGAGAAGTGTAGGGGAAAGAACTACATGAATTCTCATGAGTTCTAGACATTGGTCACAAAAAATGATGTTATTGTAGGTGTTAGAAGAGTCCAGTGAATCACAAATAATATGAAATACTTTGGTGTGACTCTAATCAAGCAAGTGAAAGATTTGTATGACAAGAACTTCAAGTCTCTGAAGAAAGAAATTGAAGTTCTCAGAAGATGGAAAGATCTTCCATGCTCATGGATTGACAGGATTACTATAGTAAAAATGGCCATCTTGCTGAAAGCAATCTACAGACTCAATGCAATCACCTTCAAAATTCCAACTGAATTCTTCATAGAGTTTAAAAGAGTAATCTGCAAATTCATTTGGAATGACAAAAAACCCAGGCTAGCAAAAACTATTCTCAACAATAAAAGAATTTCTGGGGGAAGTCACTATCCCTGACCTCAAGCTGTATTACAGAGCAATAGTGATAAAAACTGTATGGTACTGGTACAGAGACAGGTTGGTAGATCAATGGAATAGAATAGAAGACATAGAGTATTTACTTCAGTTTTTTTGTTTGTTTTGAGAATGTACTTATGAGTCAAATTACTGGGCCATATGATTAACAAGTTTAGATTTAACTCTGAGAAATCACCAAAATTTTTTTCCTAGTGATTAAGCATATTAAATGCCTTCTTGTAATTTACAAACTTCTAATTTCTTTATATTATCACCAACAATTAAATATTTCTTTTAAAGAAATGTTATCATCCTAGTAACCTTGGTGTTCTATAATAATACAAATTTGATTTGTAATTCCCTGATGATGTTGAACATGTTTCCTGATGCCTAGTGGTCATTAGCATATGTGCTATTTTAATTTTTAAGATTATAATATAATTATAACATCTACCCTTTCCATTTCCTCCCTCTAAATCTTCTACCTACCCTTTGATCTTTTTCAAATTTTTGATCACTTCTTTACTTGTTGCTCCGTGTGTGTTCCTACTCAGTCTGTATAATATTATTTATATGTATTTTTCAAGTATTATTTGTAAAGGTCTTTTTCATTAATAGAGAGGTCCTTTCAGGTCAGTTCTACCAAAAAAATATCTATTGATGTGTCCTTTTCCTGGACAGTATTTTGTCTGTAGATGTAATGAGGCAATTCTTGCCAATTGTGTGTCTCACCACAACAGGAGCAACTCCAATGATGCTCAATTTCTTCTTTGAATCCAAGAAAGGGAATGTTGTCAGGGGTAGACTTGTCTCCACAGGTGAATAAATAACATTAAATGTCACATTCTGTGGGTTTCTGATGTTTTTGAAAACTGACTACCTATGTAAAGTAATCTGGACTGTTTTGTGTTAACTACTTTCAGCTATTTCTAATTAAAATATCTGAAAGCACCCTAACAATAAACCCAGAGCCATGAACTTTCTATTTGGCCCTTAACTCACAGGCTTAGTTGTTTCAGATCAGTTTATAATCACAGTTATAGGAAAACTGGGTCTAAGTCCTGTAGTTTTAATTTTTTTTATCAATAGAAGACATTTATATCAATGAAAACCTAGATTTTGCATCAATATAAATTATGTACCAAAGTAAGAAATTATGACTTCAACCTAGTAGCAATTATAAAGATTTCTACCAAAAGAGATTACAGCTATGCAATCAATTCTAGCTATATCCTCCCTGTTCCAATTATGACCATTTCTACATTCCCTAGAAAGACAACCTGTAATAACCAGTTCCAGCTCCAAAGTCCAGGGAACTGGGATGCCAACTTTTCATAACTTCTTCAAGCTGAGTATGGGCATTGAGATATTTTTGAAGATGGGGGAGGGTAGGGAAAATGGTGAAATTGATTGGCTTTAAGAAGACCTAAAATTTAGTCTCTGATGTCTGTGTCTTAACTGGATCCAGCTGAAAGTTCAAGACATCAGGAGTTCAAGCAGGTCAGTTCAGCATGTCTGACGAGGATACTCACCAAGGCTGTGTATTCTGTAATATACAAATCTCAAAATTTTAGTATTATCAAGATATATTTGTTGTTTGATTCTCTGGAATCTAGTCCTCTGGGGTGTCTCTCTTCATCATATATGATCCATATAACTCTGGAAGGTGTATATACTAATCACCTTTTCTAAAAACTCAAAGACAAAACCTTTCTCCCTAATCAGCATATCCTTGAGTCAGAAACCAGAAAAGCTTGTATCCTGCCCTCTCTTGCAGAGGAATAATAAAACCACAAAGCTCAAAAACTACACCCATTTTGAAAGTTAAAACAATCTAAAACAAATGAAGTAAACTAACGTACTGTATGTGCCTATTCTTAGGCTTTGTCTATTTTGCCAAGCAGGATGAAAACCCAAGATTCCTGTGGAGCCCACATTAGATAGAATTTGAGTATCCTGTGAGGCTTATTAAAGCAATATATCTTTATACCATCTTTAAAACAATTGATTCACACTTTTATCTATACCTGCTTATAAGCAGGCAGTTTGTCAAAGCAGAATTTAAACCCAGAATTCCCATGGAACCCATGTTAGACAGAATTTGAATATCCTGTAAGACATATTAAAGCAAACTGTCTTCATACCATCTTACTGTTTGGCTCTCTGCCTAGAGCAGCCATCTTGTTATACCATCTATCTGTTCAGCTCTCTGCCTGGAGCCACAAACGTTTATTTAATACCTGTACATAGCAGGCAGGCAATGATTATCACTGCATTCTCTATTTGGAGTCAGTGACTCATTTTCCCTATCGTAGTTTCAAACCGTGGGCAAAATTCCCCACATGATTCGACTGGAATCTGTATATAAATTTTTCCTAGAAGCAAATAATCCCAATGTTATAAATCACAGTTAAATCAGTATCTGCCCTAAGAAGGCTTTTTTCATTCTTCTCCCGTGACTCAGAGCAGCCTGCAGCTCCCCACAGCAGGGGATCTCAGAGCTGCTCTCTTTGTTTCAACTCCAGCACTTGAGTTCTGTGACAACTCCATTTAGCTTTACCCAGCTACTCACTTTAAAAAAATAAAATTAAAACTCTAACTCTCAGACTAATAATCTTAAATTTCTAGTGGATTCTTCCCCAACATGTTGGTTCTCCACCTGTTGCGGGAAATATAAAAAAAGAATGACTTGTTCCAGCGCTATGCCCATTACTGGTGGGCCATATGGCTCCAGACGGTGTTCTCATCTTTGGCCTGGGGCCACAGAGATGTCTCCACCCTACTGGCTAATTTCCCTTGGCAGGATCTATCACACCAGCCCGGTGCTTCAAATCCCCCATGGCCTTTGTGGTGCACATCAGGCAAACACAGGTTTTGCTGCCTTACCTTTCTCTCTTGAATCCAGTTGAGTCACCAGGAGAAGAAAAACACCACACAAACTTAGTTTAGAAACAGTGTCAACTCTATCTGTGAGCACAACATCTGGAATCCTAATCTTGTAAGCCATATACATCTAATTCCTCTAGCAGCGAATCCTGGCGGATCCACCATGAAACTGGGAGACATCTTGCCCTTATGCTTGCTATTCCTGATCCAAAAGCATATGGCTGTTTCTTAATGTCAATATTCTATAGAAAAGTTATACATATTCCTTGAATTTCATTTGTTTATTTATGCAGGTTTATGTGAAAAAAAGAAAGTCTGAAGTTTAAAATGTATAAAATAATGTTTCTTTCCAGGTGCCCCAGTGAAGGGAGCTCAGAGTGAATATTGTTCAAGTGAAGAGGGAGATAGAGGAAAAGAAGACCCCTTAACCCTCTCTGCACTAGCATACAATCCCAGCTCCAGCCTGCTCCCTACTCAGGAGGATGATGATGAAGTAGACATGCTCTTTGACTGTCCATCTACGTTTGTGTTAGAAAGAGAAGACACGGATTCATTTGAGGAACTAGAAGCAGATGAAAATGCCTTTTTGATGGCTGAAGAGGAGAAGGTGAAGGAAGCCCGCCAAGCTTTGTCATGGAGCTATTCCATCCTGACCGGCCGTATTTGGCTAAACCCTCTGGTCAAGCGTTGCTCCAGGCTCCTTGTGGTGGGCCTGGGATTGCTTCTATTTGTATTTCCCCTCCTCCTCCTCCTTTTGGAGTCAGGTATTGATATCTCCTTCTTTTTCAAAAAAACGAATTTGAGCAGTTTTACTATAAATGGTACTGTACCCTAAAGGAGTAGGTGGCTGGGAAGGTCAACATTTTTTTCTACATGTTGGGCTTCCCTGATAAGAAAAAGAAAGAGCTGTGTTCAATATTAAAATTATCTTTTTCATTAGATGGCATGTTCCAAATGGTGCTGGGTCATAAAGTTATATGCCAAACTCTAAAGCTGGCTCTCTGTGCTTTGATATACTTAATACCAGCTTAAAATAAATTATATTTGCTATATGCAGCCTTTAAGTAACCAAAGAGATGTTACTTTTATTGCACCGTAGACTTTCTCTTTATTTTACCTCAAAGTGACTTATTTTTCCTGTTTCTCTGTCATTGTCATCACTATGAAACATAATGTTAATAATTAGAATTTTAGTCAGAGTCCAAGGGAATACTTTTCAATATAATTCTTAGTGAAAAAAGTATTCTCTAAGAAATGTTTATATGACTAAATTTATGCTGGGTTTTTCTTTCAGTTTTTAAAGAATATTTTTATATTCAAAGAATTTTGGTAAACTTTTTCTTGCCAAAAAAAAAGTCCCATTGAATTTTGAAAGTATACAGATTGTAAAACTAATGTACAAAAATGTATCAGAAATTATTTTAATGTTATGGCACCAGCTTTTGTAAAATATATATTTGGTTGAAAAATCTAGTACTTTACAACTATCTGCAAATGATATAGTGAACCTACTGGAAACAAGTTGTAGTAAGTTGTCCAAACAGATGCTGGAATTGGAGGTATAGACAGAGGACACTGAGTGGGCATGTGAGGGCCATCTTTCAACATTTAGGCATGATAATCTAGTACTTTCATATTTAGCCTGGATAAGCAGAATGTTTTGACAATAAAGTGAAATTTGAAGAAAGATAGCCTAGTTAATTGCATATTGTTCGCTAATTGGAGTGAAAGATCACGGGTTGGACAGATGGAAGGTACCAAAGAAGAACTCTGACGACACTGGTGGCCAGTTGAGCTCTCCTGTGGAAATGATTGTGATGCAGGACATTCATTCTACAGTGTACAGAGCTGCTCTCCCGCTCCTCACTTCTACAGCAGCACATTTCAGTGATTCTAAATGGCAGCATACAAATTCTAAAGTAAAATATTTTTGATCCTTTGCAACAGTCATTGTGATTCTGTGAAAAAAATTCTAAACAGTAGGTGTGTGTGTGTTGGTGGATATGTGTTTATATATGTATATATGTGTGTGTGTATCCATGAGTGTATATATTTGCATATACGTCAGTGTTTGTATGTATGTATCTCTATGTGTTTATGTCTGAGTGTAAGTGTTTGGATATATGTCAGTGCTTATGTGTATGCATATCTGTACATATGTGTATCTGTGTGGTTTGTGAGTATATGTGTGTATAGCTATGCATGTCTGCATGTGTATTTGTATGCACATGTATCTATGTATGCATGTATGTGTATATGCATATGGAACGTTACACATGTATATATCTATGTGTCTACATATGTCTCTGTGTATATGTGTATGTATATATGGATATGTTCGTGTTTGTATGTTTTTATGCTGTGCCTAATTATGTGTATATATCTTTGAATATATGTGTGTATGTGTGTGTTTGTGTGTATGTGTCTGTGTATATGAGTATGTGGGGGTGTCTGTGGGTGGTGCAGGACAAAGCAGAAAAACAGGTAGAAGGGGCGAGAGAAATAAAAGCTATCTTCTTGACATTTATGATGGCTAATATATGCCTTTCTTTTTTGAGTTTCCTTAAGATCTTATTTTATTGTATTTATAATTGAGTCCTCTATTGAAAAGAGTGAAAGGATCATCAGATGTCACACAAATTCAGCTTAGGCAAAGAAGCTAAGTGAGGGGAGAAGTCTTCCAGTACATTGCTTTGTGTCATTACTTCATGAATGAAAAGACCTTGTGCTTTCTGTTAAGAGTACTTACCAACATTGTCAGAGCAGAGGAAGAAAAAGATACTGAGTTTAAAGACTATAGGTTTTTCACCTATATAAAAATATTTGATTGCCTTCAGTTATAAAAGTATATAATAGTTCCATCCCTCTAATAAAGTTCCAACACTATCAGTAACTGATTTCCAAAGTGGGTAATTCAATCCGTCTAGTTCAGTCAGCTCAGGAGTTTTTGAATTGTGCCCAACCAAAACTGTGAGCGTTGACAATAATATTCAAAACATGACAGCCCAGGCATGGTGGCACATACCTTTAATCTTAACATTTGAGAGGCAGAGACAGAGGCAGAAGAAAGGTAGATTATGAGTTTGAAGCCAACATGACCTACTAAGCAAGTTACAGGAAAGCCAGGGCTAAATGGAGAAACCTTGCCCCCACCATGTGCGCTCTCTCTCTCTCTCTCTCTCTCTCTCTCTCTCTCTCTCTCTCTCTCTCTCTTTCTCTCTTTCTCTCTTTCTCTCTCTCTCACAAGCACACACACAAAGAAAAGAAAGAAAATATATCCTAATATCCTAATATTAAAGTGTGTGTTCAAATTATCAAGAGACTTAGAAATTATATCAAATTATATTAAATTGATTGTATCAAATTGTACCAAGAGACTTAGAAAAGCAGAGAATAAGCAGAAAAGTAGTCAAATGATTTCGAAGTGCCAGGAGTTACCACTACAACAAACAAATAAAAACAAAAACATAAAACCACTGGAAGGCAGAACAGAGTCTTCCTATGTCAGTAAGAATTGTCAGATGGTTAACTCTCATTTTGTTCATGTAACTTCTCTTTTTATCCTTGAGTTGAATAGAGGAAGGCTCTCCCACAACATTGCCAGTAAAGTACTCAGAGATACTTTCACCTCTGGAGTGATTCCTGGGATTGTTGTAGCTGATGGGACTTGAACATCGTTGGGTGAAATTTCCTTGATTTTTGAAATGATACTTACTGAAGGTCTCTGTTTACTTATCTTCTTGCTTCTTCTCTCTTTCCCTGTCTGTCTTGGACCTGTTTTTGAAGTTCCAGTCTCTATGCCATAACCAGAGTCAGCAGGACCTGCATATGTAGGACCCATCCAAGATTTGTTTTCCACATTCCAGCTTCAGTCACTGACTGGGAAGAGAAGTTCATGAGTGAGCCCATGGAAGCTCAGTTGTCATCACTTCAGAGAGGAAGAAAGAAACATCATTTGGGCCTTAGGCTTCAGCTATATTCACCCATCCTTCAGTAAAGCCAATTTGAACCCTCTTCTGGTAGTGTGTCTTTTATATACTTGGATTGAAATGGTGACCTTATGTTGGGTAATACTTAGATTTTTAAACTTCCAATTTTATAACAAAGAAGTGATAAAGAAGGTTATTTTTGCTGAGGTTTGCATACCAAAAGTTGTCTGTCATACATGAGAGTCATCACAGCCTCCACCAATGAGAGAAGGAACTAGGAATCCGTTTATAATAGAATGTTGAATGGAACCATACAACTCAATTTTGCACCTTTAGTTACTGCAAATATCTCTTTGGAAAGATCACCAAAGCCATTTTTATGCTTTCAAAACTATTCTTGATAGAATTAAAAGATATCTTCTGTGGATCGTACATATTAAAACATGTCTTTTAAGTTCCATCACCTTCTCCAGCTAAAATTGGTTCTTCTTATCAACAGAATTACTATTCTAACCATTTATTTTCCAAGAAATTAACTTTTCAGAGTAAAGAAAATATCAGGAAAAAATGTTTGCCTGTTACATTCTTCAGAAGCTAAATATTCTATGTTCCTTTCTACTCTAATTTTATCGACATAAAACAGCTCTAACTTGCCTTGTCAGCCTGAGTTTCCTGGCATGGGTGACCTTCTGGTTCTACAAATGGCCAATCAGGTAAGACCAATGTTCACTGTCTCGGCATGTAAATGCATTGAGGCATAGCATTGACAAACAATATTTCTGTTCTAGTTAGGTTTCTATCATTGTGTAAAAACACTAGGACAAAAGAATCTTAGAGAGGGGAGGATTCATTTGGTCTTTAGTCATCATCATGAGAGCCAATGAAAGAAATCACAGCAGGAATCTGGAGACAGGAATAGATGCAGAGGACATGGAGGAGTGCTGCTTATTGACTTGTTCCCCATAACTTGCTCAGCCTGGTTTGTTATACAAACCAGCTTCACCTGCCCAGAAAGAGCACCATTTACGCTGGGGTATGTGCTGGGGTATGTCTTCTCATGTTAATTATTAATCAAGAAAATGTCTGACAGATTTGCCAGTGGACCTATTTCCTTAATTGAAGCTTCATCTTTACAGATGACTTTAGCTTAAGTCAAGAAGGTAAAACAAAACAAAAGAAAACAAAAACTCAAAACAAACAAACAAACAAACAAAAAACCCCAAAACAAGCCAAAACAAAAACCAAAAATACTACCTAGGAAAATTGACCCTTTGTCAACTTGGCACACCAGTACATTATTAAGACATAGCTTTTTCTTTATGGTTTATCCCTAAGAGTTCATATTAGTGTCAATATCACAATATAATATCACATTCCAGCTTCTAAAAATCCCATAGTCTTTAAAAATCCAATGTCTTCAAATGCTCAATCTCTTTAAAACACTTAGTCTATTTAAAACTTGACACATTCTAAAATATCCAAGATCCCTTAAGTATAGGTTCTTGTAAAAATAAAAGCAAACCAGTTCCATCTATATCTGTTTGTATGGCTAAGATCCGTAACACAAGTTATAGCTTATGCTGGCAATGATGTAAAATAAGGGAAAAATGCTGATGGAAGTGCTGTACAAACAGTATGGAAAGCAACATGGTAGTTCCTCAGAAAAATTAGAAATCAATCTCCCTCAAGACATAGCTGTGCTGGTTTTGGACATGTACCCAAAGGATGTTCTATTCTACCACAAGGACATTTGCTCAACTATGTTCATTAAAACTTTATTCATTGTAATGTATAGTTTCTACTACCCACTTTAAACTCCAGTGGAGCACGCTACCAGATACTGCCCTGGTTCCCTTGGATACACAGATGAAAGACACACACACACACACACACACACACACACACACAGAGAGAGAGAGAGAGAGAGAGAGAGAGAGAGAGAGAGAGAGAGAGAGAGCTCATTTATAACTTGCTCAGTGGCTGGGCTCTTCTAAGCCTCCCATGGCTAACATGCCCTTACCAGATCCACACCTCTAAATCTTCCCTCAGTTTAGTTGCTCAGTTACCTTTACTCCTAGCTTAACACCTCTAAATCTGCCCTTAGTTGTGTTTCTAATATCCCACCTGAGGAAGCGACCAATGGACATTCCACTCAAGATCTCAAATGACTGATGGCTCTCTCTCCCTCTCAAGAGAATCTCTTGCCCCTCCTGCATCTCCTAGCCTGCCTGGAGGAATCTGGAATTCCTGCTTCTTCTGCCCAGCCATTGGCTGCTGACATTTCTATTGATTCATCAAGAACCAATTGGTGAACAAGACCTTCAGCACTCACATGCAGATTCTCAATCAGAGCATCAGAACCACCCCTTATATCTCATGATAGCCAGAAACTAACTGGAAAAAAAAATGCTAGTTGTTCTTCAAGTGAAAAATGGATAAGGAAACCATGGTATGTTTGTACAGTGGAACACTACTCAGCTGTTAAAAATTACATCAAGAAATATGTAGGCAAATGAAAGCAACTAGAAAAATTATCCTGAGTGAGGTAACCCAGACCCAGAAAACAGACATAATAATATGTATTCACTTATAAGTGGATACTAGTTATTAACTAAATGATAATAATGCTACAAATCACAGACCCACAGAGGTTAGGTAAAGAAAAGGGCTCTAGAGAGTGGGGGTGGGTAACATGAATCCCTCAAGAAATGGGGAATACAGTAGATTTTATGGGTGTACTGGGGGTGGATAGGGATGAGGTATCAGGTGGAAGATGGGAAAGAATGCATGGAGAGAGTGCTGGAATTGCATTTGGATGCAGTATAGAAATCTAGTGCAGTGTAAACTGCTTGGAATCTATGATGATGATTCTAGTGAGGACTGATAGTAATGGAGGATGTAGACTCTGAACTGGATATTTTTTGCAGCTTGGTAGGGCTTCTATTGGTGGGACTCAGTTGCTTTTATTTGAATTGTTGGTGAGGGAGTCCCATGGAGATTCCTAAACAACTCAAGCTGATGTTAGAACAGAAGGTCCCTCTCCAAAAACTCACAGCTTGGCCCCATTGCCAAGGACAACATCCATATAGCCCATAGAATGTATAGAGGTTGATCTGTATCATGCATGGACTCTTTCACTCTTCATTCTAGTTTCTTTGGTATGGAAGATACTCTGTAGGCTACAGACAAGAAAACTCAGGCAACAACCCAACCTCACAACATTTGATGTGCAATCTGTCCTTCTTGCAAGCTGTGGTGAGGCAATGGTAGCATACAACTTGTGGGAGCAGCCAACCAATGTTTGGTTAACTTGAGACCGATGCCATGAAAGGAAGCTCCCTGCAGGACCAGGAACTAGAAACTAGATAACCTACAGACCTATGGCAGAATCAAACATGACTCATTCAAAACAAATCAAAATCAAAAAAGAAAGAGAAGAAAAACAAAAATGGAAAAGAAAAAGAAATAATTTCTAGTGATATTCTGCTGTACTTATAGATCATAGCTTGTCCAGTTCTCACCAGAGAGGCTTCCTCAGGCAGCAGATGAGAGCAGGTGCAGAGACCCAGAGGCAGGAGTTATGCAGAGAGAATCTAGATTTGAGGTCTTCATTGGGTTTCTCCCCTTAGAGCTCAGGGAACCTCATGAAAACAGGGAGGAAAGATTGAAGGAAGCAGAGGGAATAGAAGATAGCAGGAGGACATGACTGCTTGAATCAACTATGCAGGGATCATATGGGCTCTTAGAGACTGAAAAAACAAGAATAAGGCATGTAAAGATCTGTACCAGGTTCTCTGTGTATATGCTGAAACTGTTAGTTTGGTGTTTTCGTGGGACTCCTACCAAGGGAGCAAGTGTGTCTTTGACTATTTTATCTACTTTTGTTACTCTTTCTTCTATGAGGTTGCCTTGTCCAGCCTCAATATATGAATTTTTTCTTTGTCTTATTATATCTTATTTTGTCATGTTTGGTTGTTATCTTTTTAGAGGCCTACTCTTTTATAAAGGGAAATGGAGGGAGAATGACTCCTTTCATTTGCAAATGATTTTACCAACTGGAGATATCTTCTGGGTTAGAGATGGGGACTTGTGTCTATTTCCCTCTCAGCTTTGGCCTATCTGTTTTAGACCTGTGCAGGCCCTGTGCATACTATCACAACCTCTGTGAATTCATATTTTCATCAGTCCTGTTGTATCTAGAAGACCTTATTTCCTTAGCGTCCTTAATCCCCTCATACTCTTATATTCTCTGCCTCTTCTCTCACTGAGTTCCCTAAGCTGTGAATAGAGAGGCATCACGCTTAGAACCAAACATTTCAAAGTTTCTCACGCTATACACATTGTCCAGCTGTAAGTCTCTGTACTTATATTTGTCTTCTGCAGAAGGAAGCATCTCTGATGATGGCAAAGCAAGACAGTGACATATGAATATAACAGATAATGAATTGGGATCCAATTTATGACTACAGAACTTTGTCAGAACAGTGATATTTGTCTTTCCCTCTGGTCCCTGGCTTAGCTAGGCTCAGGATCTTTACCATCCAAACAGTGTAGGAGATGGGTTCCATCTTACATGGTAGACACTAAATCCAACCAGATCTTGCTTGGCCACTACCAAAAGCTTCATTCCTCTATTCCATTAGCTCATTTTATATGCAGGTCACTATTGTAGATCAAAAGATTTGTATCTGGATTGCTGTTTACTCTACATGCTCCTTTGGTAGCATGTAGAGTACCTACCGATATGATAAACACTCACCAGTAGGGGGTGAAGGTTTTAATTAGATACCAGCTTGACTTCTCTATATTTTGTTAGTTGTGTAGGTGTTGCCATCAGTAATAGGGTCTCACATTCAGGAGACCACTAGACAGGATTA